GGCAGCCCAGCCCCGGCTGCGTGCAGGGTCTATATATAGCACCGTGCGGGTCTGCGCTGCCTGCGGTGCTTAGTCACGGCCCTGGGGAGCGGGATGGGGCAGGCACTGCTGCGTGGGGAGCTGTGCCACTGTGCCAGCTGGGGTGCCTGGGGAAAACCACCCCGAGCTGAATTAAATGTTTCACTTACTATGCTTTTTCCCAGCTGGAAAATGCAGTGAGCTTCCCAGTGGACTGCCATTTTGAACAAAAAAAATGGATTTTTTTTTTTTTTTTTGGAAAAATATCTAAGCAAAAGGTTTCAGCCCAGGGCCACAGTGGCCGCATGAAGGTGTTCCCCCCTCGCAGACCCTGGGATCCCACAGACAGGGAAAGGTGCTCCCAAACCTGCAGAGAGCATCCCTCGGCCGCAGGTGGAGGGTGCCCAATGCCTGGCCCAACCCCAGGGGCGGCTGCGGGGCAGGGGGCACCCGGCCCCAGGCAGCCCTGGCTCCTGAGGCCAGCAGCCTCGGTGTCACTCTGTGGCCATGCCGTCCCAAACACATCATGGTGCTTTCAGGCCAGCACCAACACCCAGAGCCTTTGGAGAGCTGCTCAGCCCTGGGAAAAAAAAACATTTTTGCTCATCGCCTCACCGCTCCCCAAGGCCGGTGGGTGACACGAGCTGCCTGGCCTGTATTTCCAGGACGGCCATTTCCGAACTGATGACAAGGTCCTGCCCTGGCACGCAAGACCCCGTGTGTCACGGGTGCCACCGGCGTGACCCGACCGGTGAGTGCAGGGCTGAGTCCTCGCAGCAGCATCCCGGGCACGGCAGGGGCTGCGCACATGGGGCAGCCCCAGGAGCTGCAACCGCAGGGCCCTCACAACACACCAGGGTGGTGACAAAGCGCCAGTGCCATCCGTGGCACTGTGACACTGCACCAGGAAGCCCTGCCCTCTCTGTTTCGCCCAGCAAGCCTGAGGAAGCAGTGTGGGACTGCCAGGGCAGGGATGAGATGGGTGGCACCTGGTGCTGCTCCCAGCCACGCAACGCGGGGACGTCCCCACCCAGCTCCCATGTAAATGGGAGTGGGCACCAACTGAGCAAAACCTCCTTCCCGAGTCCCCGGGAGGGCACATGCTCTCTGGGCCACTGCAAACCCTCCTCGTCCTTCAGGGTGCATCATCGTGGTGCATCGCCCGCCACGAGTCCTGCCCCGCTGCAGCCTCCAGCACCCTGGCTGCTTGCCTTGCTTTGCACGGCAAGGCCTGATCACCTTGAGTTTTGGTGTCTCATTCAGCAGTCTACTGCTGCTTTCACTCGTCTTTAACCACCTCACCACTGTCCTTTCCCTGGGGATGTGAAAATACTTAAAGCCAAGCTTTTGTGCTATTTGGCAACGGAT